GTCAGTCCGCCTCTGGTCTGTCCTCCTGCTCCCTTCCCTCCATCCTTACTAAGTTTACCCATGCCCCCTAATCCTGATTTTGTTGACCCTGCTCCTGATCCTGACCCTGACCCTGAGATTCTTTAATAAACTGCGTTCTTCTTTACCTTTGTTTCTTTATTGTTCTCTGTTACTGTCCTTTCTCTTTGATAATGTATATTTTTCAGTGGAATATTCATGGATTTTATGCCAACTTCCATGAACTCCAACTTCTAATTACACAGTTTTCACCACTTTGTGTTTGTCTCCAGGAACCCGTGCTTGGTGCTCGTCCTGGTCACTTTCGTGGTTATTCCTTTCTTTCTCCCCCCACTTTACTGCTTTACTTTACTGCTCTCTTAATTCGTTCTGATATTCCCTTCGTCCCCCTACTTCTTCCGTCACCTAGCCATTGTTCTGCTGCCCGTGTTTTTGTGGGTAAATGGTATACAGTTTGTTCCATTTATCTCCCCCAAATGTTCTGCTTTCCCTTCCTGATCTTAAGCACCTCCTGGACTCCTTGCCAGAGCCGGTGCTCCTTTTGGGTGATTGCAACTGTCGACATACCCTCTGGGGTGATTTTTCTCTCTGCTCGTCGTTCCTTTACTTAGATTTCACGTGGCAGGTTCTTGATGACCTCCATAACAGTGATCATTTCCGCATCCTCGTCTCCTTTTTCTCTTTCCACCCTCCCCTCTCCTTCCCTAGGTGGTAGTTTGCCAAGGCTGACTGGAGCCTATTCACCCTCCATGCTACTCTCTCTGACCTCTCCTCTCTGCCTCTTCCTTGTGCCCTCCTTCTTTTTTATGACAGTCTTCGAAGCTGCCCTCCGCTCCATTCCTCGCTCTTCCTCCCGGGGCATGCAGAAGTGCGTTCCCTGGTGGAATGCGGACTGTGCTCGGGCTGTCCAATGTAAGCGTGCAGCCTGGAAGAAACACCGCCGCCAGCAGACAGCTGATTCTTTTATTTTGTTTCGAAAGGCAAGTACGGTGGCCCGTAGGACCATCCGTACAGCTAAACGTGAGAATTGGAAATCTTATGTTTCCACCATTACATCCTATACTCCTCTGCCGCAAATCTGGAAGAAGATCTGCAAGATTGCGGGCAAGTTTGTTCCAGATGTCTTGCCGGTTCTTCACCTCCGTGGTACTCTCGTGGCGGACCCGGTGACGGTCACAAGCGAACTGGGTTCCCACTTTTCTACTGTTAGCTCTGGTTCTCATCTTCCTCAATCCTTTCTTCTTCGTAAGCCTGTTCTTGAATCTTATCCTTTAGATTTCCACACTCATCTCCGCCTTCCCTATAACGATCCTTTCTCTCTTTCTGAACTTCAGTCTGCCCTGGCCCTCTGCGGATCTACGACAGCAGGCTTGGATGACGTTCATTATGAGATGCTTTGCCATCTCCCTCCATGCATGTCTTAGTATTTACTGAGTCTGTATAACCAGGTCTAGGAGTCGTCATCCGTCCCTGAGGACTGGCTTGATGCCGTTGTACTCACTATTTGGAAACCAGGGACTCTCAGTATGTCCCCTAAGGACTTCCGCCCTATTGCTCTCACGAGTTGCGTATGCAAGCTCTTTGAGTGTATGGAAAATGTCCGTCTGATGTGGTTCTTGGAACACCATCACCACCTCTCTCCTTCTCAATTTGGTTTTCGCGAGTGCCGCAACACGACTGATATTCTGGTGAACTTGGAGGTCTATATTTGTACTACTTTTGCTGCGAAGACCTCCGTTGTTGCTGTCCTTTTTGACCTGGTAAAGGCTTATGACACGACTTGGAGATACCATATTCAGTCCCAACTTCGTTCTTTTGGCCTTCGTGGTAATCTCCCACTCATCCTTCAAAGCTTTCTCTCTCATCGTACCTTTCGAGTCAGGCTTGGTACCATTCTCTCTCTGCCTCTTTTCGGCAGTATGAAGGTGTACCCCAAGGTAGTGTTCTGTGCACTATTTTTTCTGGTTGCCCTCAATGGTCTTCTTTCCTCCCTTCCTTCTGGCATCTTCTCTGCTCTTTATGTTGACGATCTTACTCTTTGCTGTCGAGGTGATGATTCGCCTCACCTTCAACGGTGGCTTCAACTTGCGATTGATGCTGTGTCATCTTGGGCCACCAATCATGGCTTCAAATTCTCTATTACTAAGACTTGTGCCATGACTTTTTCTCGGAAGTTGGTCGTTCTTCGTCCCTCTTTGTCACTTTATGGTCATTCCCTTGAGTACAAAGATTCTGTGAAGCTTTTGGGGTTATTCTTTGACACTCGTTTGTCTTGGTCTCCCCATATCTCTTACCTCCGTGTTGAATGCTCTAAGGCCCTTAACCTACTTAAGGTTTTGTCCCATACTTCTTGAGTAGCGGATAGGCGCACGCTCAAGAAGTATTTGCATTCCTCTCTCGTCCTGTCTAAGCTCGATTATGGTTGCCCTGCATACTCTTCTGCTTCTCCTTCTATTCTTCGCCGTCTTGATCCTTTGCACCATACTGGGTTGCACCTCAGCTCTGGTGCTTTTCGTTCAACTCCTACCCTCAGTTTGTACGCAGACACTTGCTTCCTGTCTTTCCAGGACCGCCGTGATCGCTACAGTCTTCGCTATCTTGCGCGATCTTTACTGTATCCTCACTCTTGCCTCAATCGTGCTTTGACTTTTACCCCTCCTGTAGTTCCTGTTCCTCTTCACCACCTTCCTCTTTCTGTCCGTTTGTCTCGCTTACAATATTCTCTTTCGGTTCGTATTACCAATGTTTCTCCTCGTATTGTTCCATCCTGGCCCCCGTGGAGGGGGCCCCCCCTTCCCAAATTTTGTACTTCTTTGACCCGCATCACTAAAGCTTTTACTCCTCCTACAGTTCTGAAACCCCTCCTAGTCGAGCACTTTTCTTCTCACTTCCACTCCGTTCCCATCTTCACCGATGGGTCTAAGTCTGCTGACGGTGTGGGCTACTCTGTTGTTTTTCCTGACCACACTTATATGTGTCGCCTTCCTCCGGGGCTAGCATCTTCACAGCAGAACTGTGTTTACTAGTTGTGTTTTTACGGGGGTTGAGCTTTGCTCTTTCGGCCCGCCTCTCAACTGTCAATCAACTGTTTACTACTTTTTTTTTTTTTTTTCTCCACACCACACACACACACCCCAGGAAGCAGCCCGTGACAGCTGACTAACTCCCAGGTACCTATTTACTGCTAGGTAACAGGGGCATTCAGGGTGAAAGAAACTTTGCCATTTTGTTTCTGCCTCGTGCGGGAATCGAACCCGCACCACAGAATTACGAATCCTGCGCGCTATCCACCAGGCTACGAGGCCCCTGTATGCTATTGTATGCTATTGTCTATGTTCTTCGTCTCCTGCTTTCCCGATGTCAATCCTCCTTTGTGGTGGTAGTTGACTCTCGTAGTGCCCTCATGGCTTTGGGGTCCTTTAATCCAGTCTACCCGGTGGTCATCGAGATTCAGCATTGGCTGTTTCATATCTCCAGTAAATTTAAACCGGTTGAGTTTTGCTGGGTTCCCAGCCATGTTGGTGTCTCTTTAAATGGGCGTGCGGATGCTGCCGATAAGGAAGCTATCCGCACTTGTCCCATCTCCCATAAAGGTATTCCTTATTCCGACTTTTATCCAGTTATTCATGCCTCCATCTTTGCCTGCTGGCAGAGTTGTTGGTCTTCTGTTATTGGTAACAAACTGTGTACTCTTAAGAGTTGTGTGTCCCAGTGGCCTTCCTCCTACCACTGTAACCGGCGGTGGGAAACGGCTCTGGCTAGGTTACGTATTGGCCATACCCGTTTAACTAACGGTCACTTAATGCAGCGCCGCCCTGCTCCTTATTGCCCAAATTGCATTGTCCCTCTTACGGTCATGCATATCCATGTTGAATGTCCTGACTTCAAGGACGAGCATGTGTCTTGTTTTCCGACCGTCCCCTAGCCTTCCCAGTTTGGTGCCTTCTTTTGATAATTACTTACTCTGACAACACTTGACATGAAAATCTCATGGTGGGGGTGGTGTTTATAAATGTTACTATTTCTTAATCATCCCAAACCCCAGGTTTGGGATGATTTAATAATCATGTAAATTTGTAAATTTCTGCGAGGCTAGCCAAAAGTATCTGGGCTTCACCTCTGGACACACAGACAGACGTTCTCTCTTACTGTGTATATATTAGCCAAAGCGATGTAAATCTTAATATTTATGAGGATTTATGAATAGAGCCCAATTCTCATGCATTTTTATAATGAAATACGTGATATAACGTAAGCTGCCTTTACCATGGGTGAACGTCATATAACGTAAGCTGCCTTTACCATGGGTGAACGTCATATAACGTCAGCTGCCTTTACCATGGGTGAACGTCATATAACGTAAGCTGCCTTTACCATGGGTGAACGTCATATAACGTCAGCTACACTTTGAAGGTTAATACTACTTGTATCGTCAGGTTAGGCTGGATTATATTATGCTTGATTAGGTTAGGTTGTGTTTATTCAACCTGTTCTCACACTTTCGTATAGTTAATATTGACTTATTAAATACGTGCATATGTGACATACTAATTTATTGTGAATATTTTAGTTTACCTTGGAAAGCTTCATAGAAAACACCGACCTTACCTAACCTTCTTAGTATGTTATGATAAGCATCTTATTGCTTCGTAATTACAATTATTACTTAACCTATTATAGGTATAGGTTAAGTAATAATTGTAATTACGAAGCAATAAGATGCTTAATTTAACATACTAAGAAGGTTAGGTAAGGTCGGTGTTTTCTATGAAGCTTTTCAAGGTAAACTAAAATATTCACAATAAATTAGTATGTCACATATGCACGTATTTAATAAGTCAATATTGACTGTAAGAAAGTGCGAGAACGGGTTGTAGTTTATTTAACATGGGACAGGTTGGACTTTGTAAGATTTGTTTAATCCAACCTAACATACATTGTTAGCATTGTATGTGGGTAATAATTTGGCGGTGTGTCAACAGGTGGTCTACAGTTGTCTCAGGATAGCACCGGCCCGGAGCTCCGTCATTGGTACGACGCCCTCCAGTACGCGGACCGTCGACATGACCGCTGGCACCAGCTCCAGCCTCTCAACGGCAAGTGAGCAGCCGGGCTCCCTGCTGCTAGTTCTGCCTGCTGTAGCAGTCGCTGACGAACAGTCTCACGCAGGAGTGGCTGACAAGCAGTCTCATGAAGCAATAAATGAACTTAAATAATCATTGACGCGAAACATGTTGGAAAACAAGGTTGACTACGTAAGTGATTGCAATAACAGCACTGGAGGGACAAGAACATAAACAAAACAATTAGTTAAACACCATTTAAATAAATAATGAATAATAGAAAAATTTTTACGAAAAGTGATAAATACTAAAAACGTAACACAGAAATTTACAACACTATAAACTGTAAATGGCATACAAAAGACAAAACAACTGAACGACCTGTGGATGTTGAGTTTATCAACACTCCGTGACGTGAGCTGCGACGGGCAGGCTGGGAGGCGCATCGACCTGCCAGTATATTACAGCACATGTAGCGAGGCCCATGGGCGGGAACTGGTCTACGGCCGTGAGAAGTTGATGCCGGCTGGTGGCCTTGGGTGCTTTCTCATCACCAGTGTTGGACAATCATTATGTGAATTTTGTATTTCTTATAAATAACAGCTCTTGAAATAAATAATATATATATATATATATATATATATATATATATATATATATATATATATATATATATATATATATATATATATATATATATAATATCTTGATTCCACAAGAACTGTGGGTATTATGAGAGGTGAAGAAAACATGTTTATGACATAGGCCTTCCTGTACCAAAACAGATTATGCATATTTTTGTTCTCCTTGTCATACGTGTTGTATGAATCATAGGGAAATAAGTATCCAGAATGCATTTATTAGTATTTAATGATGAGAATATGGAGGTATAATGCAATATTAATACAAGTGACTTATTCTTAAAAATCACTGCATAAGTGTACAGCTGGAGCTGGACCACAGTGAGACCACTTTATTAGTGTACAGCTGGTGCTGGACCAAAGTGAGACCACTTTATTAGTGTACAGCTGGTGCTGGACCAAAGTGAGACCACTTTATAGTGTACAGCTGGAGCTGGACCAAAGTGAGACCACTTTATTAGTGCACAGCTGGAGCTGGACCAAAGTGAGACCACTTTATAGTGTACAGCTGGTGCTGGACCAAAGTGAGACCACTTTATAGTGTACAGCTGGAGCTGGACCAAAGTGAGACCACTTTATAGTGTACAGCTGGTGCTGGACCAAAGTGAGACCACTTTATAGTGTACAGCTGGTGCTGGACCAAAGTGAGACCACTTTATTAGTGTACAGCTGGTGCTGGACCAAAGTGAGACCACTTTATTAGTGTACAGCTGGTGCTGGACCAAAGTGAGACCACACTGGGAACTTGTGAGAATGTAATGAATGTAAGAGTACTGGAGTGAGAGCTGCCAGCTTCAGTAATGACTTGTGACCTCACTCTGAGGCAGTGTTGGAGACGCTTATGGCCGCCACACCTTATACACCTCCACGCCAACAACATCCTCCTCACCTTGCCTCCTCATCACCATTTTCCTTGTCTAGTCACCATTTTCTTTGTCCAATTAACGCTCATTTAACAACAACAATTTAAGAATTAACAACATTTTTATAATCAACATTTCCTATCCAAACAAAAAAGTATAACAAACTTTTGCTAAATTAGCTGGCAAAATATTTTAAACACATCTATCACTAACAAATTAAAATTTTTAGTAAATTGCTTGAGGTTAAAGTCAGAGTTGGGACGTTATTACACACATTTAAACCATGTGTTTAAAGGAATAAATATTACCTACATAAAATTCATAAACATGAATAATCGGCAAGTTATTGACAGAAAGCTGATAATTGTGATGACTGATAACACAAGAGTTATCAGTGTGGCATAAATAATACAAAGGCATTCAGAGTGGGATAATTAACGCAAAAGTAATCACAAAAATAATCATTGTGGGATAATTAACACAAATTTAATCCGTGTGGGATAATTAGCACAAAATCCGGTAATATTAGGAGCTGTATTGGTGTTAATGACATGTAAACCCAGACAGTATGTGAGACGCGATGATTGGTTGGATGTAACAGGTTCTTATCCATCCATGAGTTATTAGTCACTGGTTACCAGTGATCATGACAGGAAGTAACCAGTTACCGGTGATCATGACAAGAAGTAACCAGTTACCGGTGATCATGACAAGAAGTAACCGGTTACCAGTGATCATGACAGGAAGTAACCAGTTACCAGTGATCATGACAATAAGTAACCAGTTACCATGACAAGAAGTAACCAGTTACCAGTGATCATGACAAGAAGTAACCAGTTACCAGTGATCATGACAAGAAGTAACCAGTTACCAGTGATCATGACAAGAAGTAACCAGTTACCAGTGATCATGACAGGAAGTAACTGGTTACCGGTAATCATGACAGGAAGTAACCGGTTACCGGTGATCATGACAGGAAGTAACTGGTTACCGGTAATCATGACAAGAAGTAACCAGTTACCAGTGATCATGACAGGAAGTAACCAGTTACCAGTGATCATGACAAGAAGTAACCAGTTACCGGTGATCATGACAAGAAGTAACCAGTTACCGGTGATCATGACAAGAAGTAACCAGTTACCAGTGATCATGACAAGAAGTAACCAGTTACCGGTGATCATGACAAGAAGTAACCAGTTACCAGTGATCATGACAGGAAGTAACCAGTTACCGGTGATCATGACAAGAAGTAACCAGTTACCAGTGATCATGACAAGAAGTAACCAGTTACCGGTGATCATGACAAGAAGTAACCAGTTACCAGTGATCATGACAAGAAGTAACCAGTTACCGGTGATCATGACAAGAAGTAACCAGTTACCAGTGATCATGACAAGAAGTAACCAGTTACCAGTGATCATGACAAGAAGTAACCAGTTACCGGTGATCATGACAAGAAGTAACCAGTTACCAGTGATCATGACAGGAAGTAACCAGTTACCGGTGATCATGACAAGAAGTAACCAGTTACCAGTGATCATGACAAGAAGTAACCAGTTACCGGTGATCATGACAAGAAGTAACCAGTTACCAGTGATCATGACAGGAAGTAACCAGTTACCGGTGATTATGACAGGAAGTAACCAGTTACTGGTGATCATGACAGGAAGTAACCAGTTACCAGTGATCATGACAGGAAGTAACCAGTTACCAGTGATCATGACAGGAAGTAACCAGTTACCAGTGATCATGACAGGAAGTAACCAGTTACCAGTGATCATATCAAGGTAGGCCTATTACCGGTTCACAAGAGCTGCCTTGGGGGTTTGTCTCATCTATAACATTAACAACCTTTCCAAGACTCTAGACAAGCACAACATAAAGGCGCGCATGTGTTAAAATAGTAAAGAAAATGGAGTGAAACGTTTGGCGCAGTGTAAGGGTTAATTAAATTTATGAGTAATTAAAAAGTTTGGACACCATTAATTACAACAAACATTGTTAGTACTCAACCATTACGGAACCAGAAATCGTCAAACAGCCACACAATCCCAAGTATTCATGCCTGCCAATTGTTCTCCGGACGTATGGTCGTTAATGAACCTATAATTCAAATGCCTTCATCGTTTGGAAATGATGTCAACATAGATCTTAAGAACAAAGTGTAACTAGTGACACCGATGTGTATGACGGTGTTAGAAAACACCACAACAGCGTCTCAGGTCGTGGTGCTTGACCTGACCTCCAGGGTCCTGCTGCCACCCCAACCCGTTCTCGCAAATTTAATAAGTCAATATTGACTTATTAAATTTGCGAGAACGGGTTGTGCCACCCACGGAGGTGGTGGTTGTTGTTAAATATTCACTACCTGGAACAAAGTTCCAAGTAGCACGGGCTATGGTGAGCCCGTGCCACGGAGGTACACACGCTGTGAAAAAGAAGTCATCGTCCTCTCTCTGACAGTATTGGGAGCGCCAAACTAAAACCCGTTTGAACCGAAGCGGAATATAGTAGCCAGATAAGGGGCCAGATAAGGTATTATCAGAAGAAAGCTTCCTCCTCCCTCCGCGGGAGTGACAAAAGCCCAACATTTACTCTCAAGCAAGGACATAATTTGTCTTTTTTTTCACTGTGTTCCACTCGAGCTGTGCTGATATCTTGTTGGATATTTCCCTACTTACAATGTTAAGGGTGTGAACCTGTATAGTTAAGGGTGTGAACCTGTATAGTTTAGCGTGAACCTGTATAGTTAAGGGTGTGAACCTGTAAAGTTTAGCGTGAACCTGTATAGTTAAGGGTATGAACCTGTATAGTTTAGCGTGAACCTGTATAGTTAAGGGTGTGAACCTGTAAAGTTTAGCGTGAACCTGTATAGTTAAGGGTATGAACCTGTATAGTTTAGCGTGAACCTCTATAACTAGGGGTATGAACCTGTATAGTTTAACGTGAACGTGTATAGTTAAGGGTGTGAACTTGTATAGTTTAGCGTGAACCTGTATAGTTAAAATTGTGAACCAGTATAGTTAATGGTGTGAAGCTGTATAGTTAAGGGTATGATATTCCCACAGTAGTGACCAATTACCTAATAAATGTATTTCCACGGGTTTAATAGTCCAAATTTCTTGTATTGAGAGTAGGAAGATAAATTGGTAAGCCATGCTTGGCTTGTTAGTGAGGCGGACAAGCCCCGACCCTCCCTCAGTGACAAGCCAATCACCAGGACATCTAAACTGGCCAGAAAATCGCCAGGACCTGCGAGATGGTCAGCCAGACCCGAGGACCTGGTAGACTGGACCAGCCCTGACTGCAGGTACTAAGCAGCACCACCACACACCTATAAAACCTTCGAGTCTGTGGGTGACAGAATGACTACTGACAGGTATTTACACTTCCCAGATGTCTATATATGTTTATA